GGGGCGGGGATCAAACTCTTGCTAGAGTGGCTTTAGCTTCTCAGTACTGTGCTTTAACTCGTTGCACCACCAGGGAGGGCCCAAATCTTTTTTATTTTTTAAATGTGGTTTTCAGGGCTTTCAGGACCTGCAAATGGTTCCACTTAAGCTGCTTGCCCACGACCACATCTGTCTATGCCCTCATGTGGGCAAGGCCGGTGCCAGGACGCCATACTCCTCCCCAGTGCTCATGCTCTCCTGCAACTTTCCCCCACCCACCTCCAAGCTACTCTCTCTGGACCTTCATCCCCAGCCAAATATTTAGGTTTGTTCCTGAAGTCATCAACAAAGGACATTCATTAGCCTTCTCCAAACAAGAATCCCCAGAGCAACTGCTGCTTCTTCACACAGTTGATCCCCCGTGTGCATTCTCAGCAGGGCAAATGTATAGCCTGTGTCACTCTGGGTAGGTAGACGCTGGATGGCAGGGGAGTTCGTGCTTAGGTCATCAGCCTCATTTCTGCTGAACAGAGTCTCAGTCAAGTCCCTCTTTTCACCTCCTACTAATTGGCTCTGCTTTAAAAAGACAGGCTACCCAAAAACTCTGATTTAACTCCAGTACGAATTAAAAAGAACAGAAAGAAGCCAGTTTCCACAAACCTGTGAGGGGCAAACTACTTCTTATCCGGAGAAGCTGTGGATGTTTTTGTTATCTCTGTGAAGTGCAGTGAGAACCTGGTAGCAGATAATGTAGAAAAGGCAATAAATTATTTCATAATTATGTGGCCCCACAAGTCTTATTCACCTCTAAAAATATTTAGGATCAAAACCCCACTATAATCGTTTGGATAGTTAAGTGAGCAAGTAAACTCCTAATTTACAGCTTCACACAGTTTAGTCTCTGTGGCTGTGAATCCTGAAACTGCAGCAGATGTGATTCTCAGCCATCCCTTGAAGATTCCAGGTTAGTAATCAGGGGCAAACGGGCATCTGAGCTTGTCAACTCTTCTTGATACTAGTTCCATGAATGGGTTGCTACTGCAACTCATGAGTGTTGTTTTTTTTTAATTTTAAGAATAAATCAAATTAAAAATATATCAGATCACACATTATGAAGAGTGTGCTGTGAAACTTCTATTTAAGTTATATACATATTTGTAAGAAAATGCCATAAAATGTAGAATGTAAGTTGTAGAAATGTCGAAATGCGTGTCAAGAAAACAATAGAAAAAGTCTTGGTACGATGCTTCCATTTAGTGTGACTCTGGCCACATGAGCTCACAAATTAGTGTACTTGAAATGTCCTTGAAGTGCTTAATTGTGAAGTTCCTTGAAAACCCTGGGGCATAGATTCATCTACTTTCCCTGTAAACTTTCTATATGTATATACACAAAAGTATTTACACATGGTTCAGTGGATTCTTACACATGAAAAAGTCATTATAGGAATTGATAGATCCCCACTTAAGAGTGCCTACTTTATTCTCAAGTTTCTAAGTTTCCTTTGAAATACAATCGAATCTCCTAGCCTATGGGAAAGCAAATTTCTAGACACTCTAAGAAGCTATTACCATTAATTTATATGAAAATTCTTTTATATTATCAAACGAAAAGTAACCTACAAAATCATACCAAATAAGAATAGTCTGCTTTTGGATAGCGGGGGAAACCTTCACCATGTGGGGAAACAATAACAAGAGTTTTTCTACACAGAGCAAACGGGACTGGAAGGACCCAGAGCTACACAAACTGGCCAGTGTCCTGAGTTATGTCATCAGCGGAAAAGTTCGTGTTCTGTTTCCTGACCACTTCAGAGTACTTCCTTCTTACTTAGATTCATCACTATATCTTTTTTATCTGAGACTCCCATTTTTGTCAATAATGAAAAATAAAACTATGTTGACTGAGTTTATCCTGCTGGGTCTAACAGATGTCCCTGAACTTCAGGGCATGGTTTTCTCCTTTTTGTTCCTCAGCTATGTTCTCAGCATCATGGGAAATCTGACCATCATCATCCTCACCTTGCTGGATGCCCACCTTCAGACCCCCATGTATTTCTTTCTTCGGAACTTCTCCTTCTTAGAAATCTCCTTCACCAATATCTTCATCCCAAGAGTCCTAACCAGCATCACAACTGGGAACAAGACTATCAGCTTTGCTGGCTGCTTCACTCAGTATTTCTTTGCGATATTCCTTGGGTCCACAGAATTTTACCTCCTGGCAGCCATGTCCTATGATCGCTATGTGGCCATTTGTAAACCTCTGCACTACACCACCATCATGAGCAGCAGGGTCTGCATCCAGCTGGTTCTTTGTTCGTGGCTGGCCGGGTTAATGGTTATCGTACCACCAATCACACTGATGAGTCAGCAGGACTTTTGTGCATCCAACAAGCTGAATCATTACTTCTGTGACTATGAACCCCTTCGAGAACTCTCCTGTTCAGACACGAGCCTTATCGAGAAGGTTGTCTTTCTTGTGGCCTCTGTGACTCTGGTGGTCACTCTGTTGTTGGTGATTCTGTCCTATACATTCATCATCAAGACTATTCTAAAACTTCCCTCTGCCCAGCAAAGGTCAAAAGCTTTTTCCACTTGTTCTTCCCACATGATTGTCATCTCCATCTCTTATGGAAGCTGCATCTTCATTTATATTAAACCCTCAGCAAAAGACGCAAGCACGTTTAACAAGAGTGTAGCTGTGCTCATTACTTCAGTAGCACCTTTGTTAAATCCCTTCATTTACACACTAAGGAACCAACAGGTAAAACAAGCCTTCAAGGATACCATCAAAAAGCTTGTGAATCTTTAAGTCATTAAATTTGATGGATGAATCTTATGATGTCAGTCACTAGGTATCAGATAGCGTTAAACTCCAGGTCAATGAGAGAGTTTTTTAAATAAGTGAGTGGCATTGGGGTAGGATAGTGATTAGGATTTTATAAATAAAAAGGCAATTCAACCTAAGTTAGAGTGAATACATGTTCAGAAAGGATGACACGGAAACTTTGTCTTAAGGATAGGTCAGCAGGAAAAAATACAAGAAGAGAAGTTTAAGGGAGGAAAGCAAATGGTAGAAGCACAAAATTTCAGTCCAACAGGACTGAGTCACAAATTTCAATGAAATAAAAAGGAAAAAGAACCAAGGTGTGCAAACTATCAATTTAGTTTCAAATTAAGTTAAACCCCATTTTAAAAATATTAAATGCCTGTAATGTCCAGGCACTTGGATTTGGAACCAGATCAGTGGATTCAGCAATTCTTCCCATGTAGATGGTCACTGATGTTGCGGGAACAGAGGCAGTCATGAATGGGAGCCAGTAGAGGAGAAACTCAAATATCAAATTTTAAGCACACTTCCAAAATTTAAAAAGGTAGAGGGCTAATAAGAAAGGCACAGATCTGTGGAATTCGAAGGAAGAGAATATCTGAAGAAACAGAGGTGGTTGACCAGTCGCAACGCTGCAGTTTGTATTTACCTTCAGTCTAATATCCGGGAGTCCAAGCATAACATCTGTACAATCAGAATTCCACCTGCAGGTGCTCCATGATTACTCATCCGGTGCATTTCTAATGGATGGGCAGATGGACAAATGAAAGAGGGAGCACAGCAGTGAGGTTTTGTTTATTTTTTGTTAAGTGAAGAAATTTAATCAGGTGGGGTTTTTTATACTGAGAACAATGAATCAGCAAGTTATGCCTCATAGAAGAATTCTTAGATCTGCCTGGAAACTCCACTCTGTTTTACAGATGGAGAAACTGAAGCTTGAAGAGATAAAATCACTTGTCCAAAGTCATACAGCTGAGTGACTCAGCAAGAACTATAGCTAATCTGCTGACACCAGCATTTAATTGCTTAACTACACAACACAAACTCCCACCCACTCTGGCTGGTTTTAAGTCTTGCTTTTCTAAGTGTTTCTAATTGTTGTGGCCTTCCACCTGTTTCCCACTTTTTCTAAGTCCTCAGCAAGCTTCCATTAGAAGCCTTGGGACATGACTCTCCTTAGGAAGTTGGAAACTTCCTGAAACAAAAGCCCATGTTACTCTGTTACACCTCCCAATTCCCCTTCCATGCCCGTGTCTTTTCTGAACAATGTGAGTCTCCTTTATTTTTCTCTTGTTTAAGAAGGAAAATAAAAGCCTCAAGAGCATGAGTTGGGAGAACTCACTAATGAAACTATCATGTTCTTTGAAAATACAATATATTTTCAATGGGTCTGGGTTAATTTTCCTGTCCAATATGTGTACATTTAGGTCTTGAATTCCCCTGAGTTTAAAAACTAAAGGTAACATCAATGAAATAAACTGAGCAAAATCAAAAGTGCACAGTTTAAATAATTTGCATGTATTTCAGGCTTATCACATGTCCGAGAAGGTTTCTCTAGTGACTGGGAACCACCAAAAGTCTCTGTCCCTAGAAAGCCCTTTTCCTGTACCCTTCTTTCTGGTATGAATTGCTGGGTATCAAATCACCCCAAATTTTAGTGTCTTAAAACAATTTATCATAGTTCATGATTCTAGAGGTTGAATGGGATCAGCTGGGTGTTCCCACGTTCGTCTGTCATTGAGTTGTAATCAGACGGTACCTGGGGTGGGAGTGAAAATAAGGCTGTTAACCCAAGATGGCTTCCTCACCCAACTTTCACAGTGCAACTGAGAGGGCTGGATGGGGTGGGCTGACCGGTTATCTCTCTGTGGTCTCTCCAGAGGGGCTTTTGGGCTTCCTCGTGGCCTGCCAGTCTCAGGGTGTTCAGACTTTTCTCGTCACTTGGACTCTCTCAGGGCATGTGTTCCAAAAACTGGTGGATGTTGCGAAGAATCTCTCTTAAATAATTAAACTCACTTCTAATAAATTCCCAAAAACAAAGCAAGTCATAGACACAACAAGTTAAAGGAACGAGGGGGAAAATTACCCCTCTTAATGGAAAGAATAACACTGAAAATTTTAAACTGTCTAATTCACCACAGCGATGAACCTGAAGATGCTTTTAGGGCAAAAATAGACACGTGCGATCACTACACACTTCAACCCTTTACAGAATATTGGATTCCCTGAGCCTCATTGTTTCACCAGTGGTCAAATGTTTATATTAGTGAATCATGTGGTGTATGTGGATTTTCTAGGTGTTATTAGAACTATTAGAGGAAATCTATTAGGATAGAAGCTAAAAGCTATACAGTCATACTTTCTGTATTGCTGAGGCTTTTACTGTTGCTTTTATCAGTGTTGATATATTCAAGATAATAAGGGACAATGATTTTTATTATTATATTTTCCTTTTGTGCAAACGCCCATTATTTTTATTATAAGATTGACAAGCCTAAAATGAAGATAGAGGCAGCTTTTCAACTCCTGAAAGTCAATATACTTATCCTTGTGAGGAGGGAAGGTACTTGGAAAAAATATTGTATTGCAAGGAAAAACAGTGAATGTCTGGGATAGTTTCACATGCAAGAACCATGACTAATACATTTGGAGTTGATTGAATTGCAAATTAGAAAAATAGAAAGATTAGCAGTTTCAGGGAGGGTGGAAAATGCCCACCTACATAATGCTGAATTCGTCAGCTTTCTTCGACTTTCTCCTCGACTCTCTTTATCAGTCAAAATACAGCAGTCTCTCCTTACAAGGAGGCAGGGGGTAAATTACAAGATGCCCAGTGGATGACTAGAATCCAGGATGTGCCAAAATCTAGATGTAGTATGCTTTTACCTAAATAGATACACTTGTCATAGAGTTTACTTTATATATTAGGCACGGTAAAAGATTACCAATAACTAATAAAAGTGAACAATTATGACAATGTTCTACAATAACCGTTATGCAAATGTTCTCTCACTCTCCTCTCAATACCTTATTGTATATAATATTTCCAGACCATATCTGACCAAGTTGAAACCAAGAAATCAAAATGAAGATAAGGCAAGGCTACTGCATGTCACTCTTACTGCATCAGTTTTCATTCATATTCCAACGAGACAATTTTCATTTTGAGTATCCTACTACTTCTTTGAATGAAATGCAAGTCTTTTGAGGGTGTCATGGAAAGACTGCTTGACTTGTTTATTTCTCAGGGAATAAATGAAGGGATTCAATAGAGGGGCAACAGATGTAGTAAGCAGAGAGACTGCCTTATTAATGGCCACTTCATCCTTAGCTGAGGGTTTGACATACATGAATATGCAGCTGCCATACGAGAGGGAGACCACGATCATGTGAGAAGAGCAGGTGGAAAAGGCCTTTTTTCTCTGCTGCACAGAAGGCAACCTCAGGATCATCCTGATGATGTAGATGTAGGACAGACCCACACACAGCAGGGTCGTGATGAGGGTCAACACAGCACTGACTATAACCAGCTGCTCTATCAGCCACGTGTCTGAACAGGAATTCTTCAGTATGGGGGAAGCATCGCAGTAATAATCTTCAATAACAAAGTCACAGAATTCCAGACAAATCAACAAGCTGAAGGGTGGAATGATAATAAATAAGCTAGACCCCCAGCAGCAGCAGATGAGATTCCTGCAGACCCTGCTGTTCATGATGGTCACATAGTGCAGGGGCTTGCAGATGGCCACGTAGCGGTCATATGACATCGCGGCCAACAGGAAAAACTCTGTGGCCCCAAACAGGACTATAAAAAAGATTTGTGTAAATCAGGCTTCGATCGTCATGGTCTTGTCCCCACTTGATATCATGTACAGGTAGGTGGGGACACAGGCACTAGTAAATGAGACCTCCAAGAAGGAGAAATTTTGCAGGAAGAAATACATAGCAGTTTTCAAATGGGCGTCCACGAAGACGAGAACAATGATGGTCAGATTCCCCATTACGCTGAACACGTATGCGAGAAACAGAAAGATAAACACCAAAATCTCTAGCTGTGGGTCACTTGTCAATCCCACTACGATGAACATTGTTATGGTTGAATGGTTCCTCATGGCTGTTCATGCTCTTGCCCAATCTTCACAAAAATGTCTCAGAAATTGGATCTAGGGAATGTCAAGAATGATAGGATCAAATACCGGCTATAAATAAAGATTAAACTCAGCCTCAAGTTGCTCCTTTTGTAATATAAAAATTCATCTTTCATGAAGTCCACTAAATTTATCACAGGGAAGTTAGAGCCAGTTGGTCTGGGCTCGAATCATATGTCCATCTCCTCTGTGAGCAACCTTGAAGCAGGCAAAAACATAAAATCAGAAGAAGAAAAATCCTGGGGAAAGTTTTGTTGCAAAGACTTCATAGCCGGAAGGTATCTCCTCATAGATTGCCTACTAGCTACAGTGTGTGGCCATTGTCCAGGGAAGCTGAGAATGAGCCACCTGAGTGTAATCACAAGGATGATCATAGAAACCCAAACCAAGGGGGGTCTACAGGAAAAAATGACATGAGGGAAACTAAATTCTATCAAAAATGTTTCTATCTCAAAAAAAAGATAAATTGTGGAAATGTTCCAAAACAGGAGGCTACAAATTCATGGCAGCGCAGAGCAATACCTGACACCCATACTGGATCCTGGCAGGAAATAGGAAAATTCAATTAAGTCTATTTTGGGTCAGTGACAGAATTGAAATATGGATGATGATACAAAATTTTTGTTATCAATGTTAAATTTACTGATATTGAGAGAAACACTATGGTTTTGCAAGTAAATATCTCTGTTCTGTGGAAATAAATACACAGCGAACTATTATAGTTAGGGTAAAGCTGTATGTACTGAGACTCGTGAATTTTTATGTTGTGTGAGTTATAAACAAAGAAGAAAAGTACAATGAAGAGAGCCCAATAGAAAAACAAACGGGTGAACT